GCGACCCACAGGTTGAGAGTCACTGGCTCTAAGATAATCATCTGAGAAGTTGGAGGAAGTGGTGGTGGGGTTGTTGGTGGGGAGAGGAGGAGGGAAGGGGGACAGGAACCGGAAAAGGAGGGAGAGATACTGGGATGGGGGAATTGAAGGAAAGAGGGGTGAGGGGAGGGGGGAAGAGGAGTAAATGAAGAACTTGCCCTGTAGCTCCTGGTCCCAGAATGAAGAGACCCCTGGAACTGACAGGAACCCAACCTGCAGCCTTGAGTCCAACCCAGTTAGCCAGGCCCAGGCGAATCCACCCGGACCAGCTGCCCTGTCCCCTGTAGACCCACGAAGGAGAAAATAAATGTTGATAAAATCTCCTGAGACATTCGGTGTTTGTTTTGAGGCATGATTGCTGTTTTGAGGCATGATTGCAGTAGAATCCTGTGTAATACACACACACCTGTTACCCTCATAAGTAGCTGGTCATTCATATTAATAATAGGGAAGGAGCAAAGGGGAGGCCAGACATAATAAGCAAGGTCATCTGGGCAGCCTCACCAGGAAGCTGCAACTTGACACTCCCCAGGGAGCCAGTCTATTCCCTGGAAGTCACTGGGGGAGGGCTCCACAGAGGGAAGATGGCACATGTGCAGTGAAGACCGGGTGACATAGGGAAGGGGCCTGCCTGTCAGTCTAACCTGGGAACAGAGGTCGTTGGCTAAAAGGGTGGACCCCAGTGCAGGCCCATCAACATTTGGGAATACAGAGTCACCAGGCTTAGAACTCTCTCTCTCTGTTGCTCTTGCCTGCTCTCCTGTTTCTCCCTTGCTAGTGACCCTGCTAGGCTGCCATGTGGTCCTCGAAGCTGAATGGAGCATGGCCATGCAGACCCCACAGGCCATGGACTACAGCGGGGAGCACAAGCTCCCCCAGCCAGAAGCTGGACTGGACGGGACTGTGCAAATATGGAGCAGACACTCTGGGAATGGCTGCAATCCTGGTTCTGCTGAAGACAAAATGTGACTTTTTCGTTGCAGGACGGAGGGAGATGGACCTTGGAAACTCAGGCATTTGATTCCACAGAAATAAAGCGTCCCCAGCACCTCATCCTCCTGTGGGACCTCAGGACATTTTTGTTCCCGTGGCACCCCAAGAACTCCACTCCCACCAGGAACAGGTGGAGACTTGTAGAGCACCCCACCTAGAACACACCCAGAGCAAAGTAAAGGTTATTATCATTCTTTTTATGACAAGTGCTTTCAAAGAGGGACTTTGCACTTTTTCTCCTCCTGAGCAAGCTTTCTTTCCCCACCTTTTCCTCCAGATCAGAGACTCAACTGCAATGAAGACCGAAGGAGGGCCTTTGTTCTGTGGTTTTCAGCTGAAAGTGCCAACTGTAAGTGGGGGAGCTGGTAAAAGCCAGGGCCCCAGGTCTCTTTAGGAGAGAGGCTGATAAGCTGGGTGAGCCTGCAGGTGAGGACATGGTGAGACCTGGTTGGCAGGGCAAGGTAAGGCCTGAACTCAGAAATCTGTGGGAGGGAGACAACCGGATTGAGTGAGCTTGACAACTGCATGTTCCTAAGAACTTACTGTGGTCATTAAGGCCTCTGACAGGCTTGCCTGCTCTTCTCTGGGATGTCTTCTAAGAGATTCTAAAAGACAGAACCCAGGTTCAACTGCCTGCCACTGGAAAGACCAAATGGAGATAATGGGACTGGTGGGAGGAATGTAGGTTTATTCTAGAGCCTGCAGCTTCAGAAGATGTAGACTCATGCTGCAAAGACAATTGGACACAGGCAGGCAATTTTGTAAGGAAGAGGAGAGGGGGGAAGAATAATCCTATACAGTAAGAGAGGAATATGCTAATTATCCATACGCCATAATGTCAGGACCAATCTACAAGTGGTGGAGAGCTACAGGAGGGTGGGGCAGCAGGCAGAGAGCTCCAAGGGGCGGGAGAGCTACCAGCAGCAGTGGGCGGGTGGCCAGCTGAGGCAAGCCGCAGCAAACTACTTGCGCACGGATTTGTGTGCAGGGCTACTAGTAAAGGAATAAAAAGGAGGGATTGAGGGTTCTCCGTTGAGGGGACTAAGTGCTACCCAACATAGTCTGTTCAGATTACTGGTTGAAGGTCAGCAAATCTTCAGAGATGGAATGTCTGGAGGTTGGAGTCTGCTTTTCCTGAAGTTAGTGCCTAGAATTCTTAAGTGAACAGGCTGTTTATGTGCGGTCACATTTACAGAAATAAAGTTAAAATAATGGTGGGGTAGGTTACAAGATGTGTGGCTTAAAGATTTATATGAAAAGATATTCACTACAGAATTATATGTACTCTAGAATAATAATGTTCTAATTAGATCAGATGGCCAAATGACCTTCCGGACAACCTACCAGATGAAGCCTGGGCTGCGAGTGCCAAGCCCCTTGCATGAATTTCGTGCATTGGGCCTCTAGTTGTAATATAAAAATATATGAGACAGCATACGTATACAACAATTGAAGAATGGATAAACATCACGTTGTCTGACAGTAGAGGGTTTCCAATCCATATGTCTGTTGGCCATCTGTACCAGTTCTCTAGGTAAATGTCTATTCAGGTCCTCTGCCCCTTTTAAAATTTATTGTTTGGTTTTTTTGCTGTTAAATTGTATGAGTTTTTTAAATAAATTTTGGATATTAACTCTGTATTGGATGTATCATTGGCTAACATATTCTTCCCTTCAGTAGGTTGTCTGTTTGTGTCATATGGTCCCATTTGCTTATTGTTTATTTTTCTGCCCTTGCCTGAGGACACACATTGAAAACATATATTACTAAGAGGAATGTCAGATGTTCACTCCCTCTGTTTTCTCCTAGTTTTATAGTTTTGGGGCTCACATTTAATCTTTAATCCATATTGTGTTTATTCTTGTATATGGTGTAAGAAAGTGACCAATTACTCTTTTTTTGCATGTATCTGTCCAGTTTTACCAGCACCATTTTGAAAGGACTGTCTTTGCCCCACGGCATATTCTTGCCTCCTTTGCCACAGATTAATTGACCGTATAAGTGAGGGTCCTTTCTTGGGTTGTCTGCCTGCCCCCATTGAACTGGGTGTCTGTTTATATGCCAGTACCATGCTGTTTACTACCGTCAACACTTTTGTATAGTTTGATATCAGGGAGTAGGATGCTTCCAACTTTGTTCTTTCTCAAGACTTCTTTGGACATTAGGGATCTTTGTGGATCCATATAAGTTTAGGATGAGTTGTTCTATCTCTGAGAAGAAGGCCATTGGTGTTTTAATAGGGATTGTATTGAATGTGGATATTGCTTTAGTAAGTAAGCACATTTTAACAATGTTAATCCTTCTAACCCATGAACATGGTATATCCTAGCCTTCCATTTATTTGTATCCTCTTAAATTTCTTTCTTCAGTGTCTTATAGTTTTCAGTCTATAAGTCTTTCATTTGTTTGCTTAAATTTATTCCTGGATATTTTATGTTTTGTGGATAAACTTGTAGATGTGATTTTAAAATTTTCTCCTTCTGATTATTCATTATTGCTGTATAGAAATGCAACAGGTTTCTGATTTTCTATCCTGCAACATTACTAAACTCAGTGATTGGTTATAATGGTTTTGTTGTTGTTTTTTTGGTGGAATCCTCAGGTTTTTCTACATATTGTATCACATCCTTTGCAAATAGTGAGAGTTCTACTTCTTCCTTTCTGATTTTTATGCTTTCTATTTCTTTGTCTTGTCTGACTGCTGTGTCCGGGACTTCTAATACTGTGAGAGCACAAGTGGTGAGAGTGGGTGTCCTTGTCTTCTTCCTGACCTTAGTTATTAGAGAATAACTTTTCAGCTTTTCACCATTGAGTATTATCAAAGCTGTAGGTTTAGGAATCATGTTTTTATAACAATTTTTGTTATTACAAAATTGGATCCAATTTGGGAATTTAAATTGTATCTACATTCTGGTATTGTAGATTTTACTATGATGAACAGCATTAAATATAAAACTTTGTGTTAATGCCTGATTTTTCTTTAGGAGTAATTCCTTAAAGAGATATTTTTGGGTTAAAGAATAAAACTTTTTAAGACAAATATATATCTCTAAAATATGTCCAGACATATTTACATTCATATGTAGCAAAGTATGTGGTTCCCATTATGATTTATTTAAATTTGACTTATTTTTATTTTGAAATAGTTTATGATCAAGAATAAAAACAATAACTATCCCCCAAATCAGTGGAAATATATTCCCCTTTCTGGAAATTTAAATTTCAAACATTCAGATAATTTAGGAATTGCAGGGAGCAGAGGACGCCAGCTCCTGCTCTGAGGGCAGTGGGAGCCCCTGGAGGCCGAGGATAGGTGTGAAGTGAGGGAGGCAGGAGAGTTCGGGCTGTGGTATGGAGCAGAGACTGAGGGGCCCCAGTGGAATCGGGGCTCAGAGAGGGGGGACCTGCGTTAATCAGAGTGAGATGCTGGAGGCGCGGACAGGCTGTCCAGGAAGTGTGGGCAAGTGGAAGCTTGTGAGCCCATTGGACAGCACAGCCCAGGACTCCCAAGTGACCAGGGCCAAGGGATGGACACTTAAGGTTCATCCTTTAGGGCAGCGGTTCTCAACCTGTGAGTCGTGACCCCTTTGGGAGTCAAAGGATCCTTTCACAGGGGTCGCCTAAGACCATCGGAAAACATATATAATTACATATTGTTTTTGTGATTAATCACTATGCTTTAATTATGTTCAATTTGTAACAATGAAATTGGAGGTCACCACATCATGAGGGACTGTATTAAAGGGTCGCAGCGTTAGGAAGGTTGAGAACCACTGCTTTAGGGTGATTTTCCATTTTGGAGTCAAAGGTGAAGAGACTCCCAAACAGACATTTCAGAGGAGGCTCTGGGGTCACCAGTGATGGTGGCTGCACCCGGAGTCGGCCCTGGGGAGGCAGAGGTCTCCATGTGGATTTTCCATCTTCCTCCAGGTCGTCATTTATACCAACTCCTTCTGGTGTCTCTCTGTCTGCACAACAGCCCACAATGGTGAGGTCCCTGGCCTTCCATCTGCTCCACCTGACTGTCTGCCTCCCCTTGGTCCAGCTGCTCACACCCTGCTCAGGTAAGGACCATCTGCAATTATGTACCAGGAGCAGTTACCTATAATGCCCAGTCAGAACCTTGGACTCCTCCCCACACCTGGGAGGCCCATACACACTGTACACCTGTCAGAACTGAGTCCCTTTCTAGATGTTTCTTACCTCACCCTCCCTGCCTGGGATACCCCCTTACCCTCTGGCCTCCAGCTCTCTCTGATGGAGCACCCCTTTCTGCTCACCAGCTCAGGTTGCTGTGATTGGACCCCCTGAGCCCATCCTGGCCATGGTGGGTGAAGATGCTGAGCTGCTCTGTTATTTGTCCCCGAAGATGAGCGCTGAGACCATGGAGCTGATGTGGCGGCGATCTGGCCTCAAGCAGGTGGTGCGTGCATATGCACATGGCATGGAAGAAACAGAGATAGCAGAGTATCGAGGGAGAACGTCGATTTTAAGAGGGGACATTGCTGAGGGGAAGGCTGTCCTGCGGATTCACAAGGTCAGAGCCTCTGACAGTGGAACCTACCAGTGTTATTTCCAAGATGATGATTTCCTTGCAAAAGCCCAGGTGGAGCTGAAGGTTGCAGTTGAGCCTGAGGCGGTTCTGAGCTCCAGGCAGTGGACCTGGGCCCCCCAGGTGCTCGCTGCTGTGGGTCCAGGGAGGCTGAGCAGCAGGGACATCACCTGTGCTGCCAGGTCCTCCAACCAAAGGCCCCAGGATCACTCCTGCAGTTGAACAAGTTGAGCTCAGGACTAGTTGCAGTGAGGAGAACATACAGTGTGGAAACATGGGGTGTCCCCATGAGAGTGTGTCAGGGAGACTTGGTGTAACTTTGGGCTGATAGGGGACCAGGGGAGGGTTTATGGAAGGAGGGCTTTGCTCTGGATCAGATGCTGTCAGGAGGGTGTGGGGTGTAACTGGTCACTCACACCGAGGACAGGGGATGATTGCTGGTTGCTGTGGTCTGGACACTGTTCATGTTTTATTCTGTGTTCAGATCTGATGACTGAGTGGTCTTGTTTTGTCCTGACCCATCACAGGGACAAAGAATCCTTGTCTGATGCTGCTGTTCCATGACATTGTTCGTGTCTAACATCATTTGTCTTTCTCACGGCACAGCCCTGCCTTGAACAGGAAGGAAGGTGGAGGTGGGAGGTCCTACCTTTCTCCCTGCAGGGCCTCCTCAGCTACATCCCTTCCTGAGACCACAGCTCCTCTTAAGAAATCCCTCCCTAAAGGACTGGGTTCTTCCAAGTCTTCAAAAGGTTTCCTCTCACCTCCCCTTGGGTTAAGAGTTTAGGGACTGGTGGTAACAGCTCACTGTTCCTGGCCCTGGGTCGGCTCTCTCCCATTTAGTCGTTCCCCTTCCACAACCACAAAATAAACATTCCCTCGGTCCAAAGACCCAAAAAAGAGGTTGTAAACTCTAGATTAATGATATCAAGAGTTCACCACCGTGACTTTCATACCAGGAAGAGCATGGGCTGCAGCAATAGAACGTGCATATCCTCCCCACCACTTGGCAAAGCCTAAAGCTCACACAGGACAGGCAGGATAGGTAGGGGACTGGGGTATGACCCGCCCAGATAAGGGGAATGAGTTACATGCCTGGGGGTGGTGAGGGCCAGTTCCAGGAACCAGCACTGGGCAGGGGGAAGGTCCAGGTGTCTCTGAGGGGAACCATGGGAAGCAGTCTCTGTTCTGGCCCAGATCCAGCTGGATCTAGTTCGAGGGTCCACGAGGGTCAGGCAGTGGTCACCTCATGGAACAGTCTCCCCTGCACAGCACACGTGGCAAACAGCTCCTCAGTGAGCCCTGCCTGTGTGATCTAGTGGAGTGAGCCCCCATTCCCGATGGGACCCTCACCAACACAGAGGCCTCCCCATGACTCAGGCTCACTCTTCCTTCCCCAGCCCTGGGCTCTGATCTTCACGTTGAAATGAAGGGCTATGAGGATGGAGGGATCCGTGTGGAGTGCACATCTGCAGGCTGGTATCCACAGCCCCACGTAGAGTGGAGAGGTGAAGGCGGAGAGAGCTTGCCCGCCATGGCAGCACCTGGGGCTGCAGATGGAGAGGGTCTGTACGCAGTCACGTCGTCTGTGATCCTGAAAGGCGGCTCTGGGAAGGGGGTCTCCTGTGTCGTCAGAAACCCCCTGCTCAGCCAGGAGAAGACAGCCATGGTCTCCATTGCAGGTGAGTGCCTGGCCCCACACTGAGCTCAGCTGTGGCCACTGGGAGAAGGAGGCCTGAGTGTCTGCCTCTGACCTGGGTCTGTGCAGTGAACATAAGGCTCAGAGCAGGGACCTGGGTGCCCTTTGCCCCTTGAAGCTGTTGATGTCACAGACATTTTCTGAGCATCCCTGCTGCCTCCACCTGGGACAGGCGATGGGGATGGGCAAATGGTAAATGTCAGCAAACACATGACAAAGTGGGGAAATTATGTGCAGACACGTCCTGGAGAAAGGGCTGAGCTCCTCAAAACATGAAACATCTCCGTACAGAAATGAATGGTTCCCAGAAGGAAATACCTCAGGGAAGGGTGTCCAGTCTCACTGAACAGGGAGACGTTCCCACCTGTGAGATGGGCAGCAAACAAACCATGTAGTTGGTAACACTGATGGCAGGACTGTGGGGAGACAGACACTCTTAGACACTAGTTTGTTGCTATAAGTTGGTATATTTTTGTATAAATTGACACAGCTTATATTGGGGGGGGGGGCGAGTAGAAGAATCTTAATACAAACTACTTATTTATTGACAAAATCCCAGTTCTAGGAATTTATCTGACAGATCAGCTCAGGGTTGTGTGAAATAACTGATGGACAAAGTTATTTCTTTTTAAAAAATATATTTTTATATTTTTATTGATTTCAGAGAGGAAGGGAGAGGGAGAGAAAGAGAGGAACATCAATGATGTGAGGGAATCATGGGCTGCCACCTGATTGGGACCAAACCCACAACCCAGGCATGTGCCTTTTACCAGAATCTTCTGTGGACCCTTCAATCCTCAGGCCAATGCTCTATCCACTGAGCCCCACCAGCCAGGGCACAAAGTCATTTCTTAGAGCATCAGTTATAATAACAAAAGTCACAGACAGTTCAGACGCCACCCATGGGGACTCCTGTGCAGTGGAGGCTGCCCTGTGGGAGGAAACACAGATGTGCTCTCCATGCTGAGAGGGAAAGGTCCCCAGGACCCACGATGCACTGAGAAACGAGCTGTGGAGCAGCTTGTGCAGATGCTGCCTGTGGTGTAAGCAAGACAAATAAGAAGATGTTTATGTTTTTTATGTATATATACTAGAGGCCCATTGCAGGAAGATTCCTGCAAGAGTAAAGCTTTCTGCGGCCCTAGTATATGTGACAGAAAGAGTTCTGGGAACTTTAGGGAAGACAATGGTCATTGCCCCTCTTGAGAGACCCCGTGACCCTTCGGGCCAACGGCTGAGGCTTTCCTCCCCAGGCCCCTTCTTCTCCAGCACGAAGCCCTGGCAGGCGGCCTTTGGGGTGATCCTTGTGGCTCTGCTGGGGCTTCTGGCTGGGTTGGTGATGTCATGGCGGCAACAGCAGAAGAGAATCAGGGCCTTGAGCCAGGAGAAGGAGAGGGAGCGAGCTGAGAAAGAAGCAGCGCTGGTGGCGAAGGAGCATGAGCGAGCTGAGAAAGAAGCAGCATGGATGAAGGAGCAGCTGGAGCGATGCACCAAAGGTGAGGCCTGGCTGCAGGTGGGTGGGACCTCCCTGCCCCAGGCCACCCACCCAGGCGCGGGTCCCCCTTTCCATCTCATTGACAGCACCTTCTCTTTCTGCTTATTTCCAGAGAAGCTGCAGGAGGAGCTCAGTAAGTCCCAATCCCCCGCCAGGAGGGTTCTGGGGTCCCTGGTTACCCCCTCACTGACCCCTCCCGTTTCCCCTGCAGGGTGGAGGAAGCAGCAGTACCTGGAGCGTGAGTACCTGGACTGACATCAGCAATTATGTGCTGGGACCTGTCCAGCCCCTTCCTCACCCCTGACTGCCCAGGGGAAGGAATGGGGACACTGATATGGGAGGTCGGGCAGGGGGTTCCTCCCTATAGAAAGGGGTCAGGCTCTCTCCACCAGGCCGCTCACACCCAGATGTCCAGAGAACCCCAGAAAGGAGAGGAGGAGATGGACTTGGATGTGAGGGCCTCCCTCCCTGGCTGCTCTATAGAATCTACAGGCTGCCGAGAGGAAACCAGAAGGAGAGAGAACATTCTCTTCTAAGGAGGAGGGGCTGGTGTCAGTTGTCCCAGATTTATCATAACTGCTGAAAAGTCGTGTCTGAAATTTTCTCATTAAGTGACCGAATTCTTTTTGGAAAATGGCAGGAAATCATGCAGATTCAGATCAATGGATTTCAGCACACATAGCATACACGTATGCACATGGCAAGCCCAGCCAGCTATAGGACAAAGACAGTCACCTCATATGTCAGGGGCATGTGATCCATGACCCCAGTGGGTGCCTGGCCCACAGATGGCACCACACCCTGTGTATAGTAGGTTTCTCCTTCTCACTTAAAGGAAGGCTTCTCATTGCCACACCCCAATGGGTCATTGCAATGATGGGTCATTGTTAAGTAACATCAGGGGACTTTCACACAAGCCCTGTGATGCTGAGGCAGATCTGACCACAGAGCCGGCTCCTCAGTGACTAAGTGGCTCATGGGAGGGACACAGGGTGGACGTGCTGGGCACAGGGATGGTTCTCAGGTTGGCATGTCAGACATGGATGGCACAGGTGTCATCACACTGCTCAGAATGAATTGCTTATTTCTAGAATTTTCCATTTAACATTTTCCAACTGTGGGTGACAGAGGGTAACTGAAACTTCAGAAAGTGAAACGATGGTTAAAGGTGACTGCTGTACAGACACGTACAGGACAGACCTGCAGGTGCAGCTGGGAAAGCCCCACTTGGTACTAGGTGCCGGTGACTTTAAAGAGGAGGGAGCAGGGAACTGAACAGGCAGAGGGAGAGGGAGGTGGGGGGTCAAAAGGAAGAGAGAGGAAAGGACTCAGAAATGACGGTTGAGGTGACCCTGCCTCCTTCCTTTGCAGGTGACAGGTCTCAGGCCTATGCTGGTGAGTGACTCATGCTCTCTGGTTCCTGCACTTGTGTACAAAGCCCTTCAACCCTTTCTGTGCTGGTGAGGGGTCATCAGACCCTGCTCAGAGCTCATGTTCTGTGGAGGACCAGTGATGAGAATGGTGAGGGGAGAACAGAAATGATGACCTTTCCTTGCCTGTGTCTCCTTCCTTTCAGAGTGGAAGATGGCCCTTTACCAGCCTGGTGAGTGGATGATTGTGTGTTCCCTGGGACAACACAGGGGCCTGGCTCCCTCTTCTACAGCTCTTGACTGGGAGACTTTTGGGTGGGTTACATGAGCTCCCCACAGTGTTCCCATCTGCTGCTAAGAGAGCCAGGGACAGCTGCTGCCCTGGGCTTCCCCAGGTCTGTGTGGGAAGGAGGAGGCATGAGGGGTGGACCTGGGGGCAGGGGCTGGAGGGAGAGGGAGGAGGTGACCTGTCCCAGCTGCTGCCCCTCCTGCCCTGAGCCTCCTCATGGTGTTCAATGTCTCTGAGTCCCTTTGAGATGATGGTGGTCATTCCTACTATGTGAGGGTGGATGTAAGACTAGATGAGGTGATGAGTGTGTGTTGGTCAAAATTCCAAGAGGGAAGCCATGGCCTGTTCTTGATGGGTGTGTGTCTGACGGTAATGACCACAGTCAGGAGAAGGTTCTTAAGAATTAAAATTTAAGGACTTGATGTAGGCAACTCCTTAAATTATAACAAATCATATTTTATAGTAATTTACTCACAGGGGTGTGGGATTGGAGCAGACAGAATAGGTGTCAGTCTGCACAGACTGTTACAGTACTTGTTTAACACACAACTCGGGTACTAATGGTTGACAGGACAAAGGGACAAGGAGTGTGGCAGCATCAGCCATGCCTCCTGGGGGTCTTGTGGTGGAAGGTTCTTTATAATCGATACCCTCACATTAGGTGTTAACCTCTGTTGTCATGTCGTTCTAGTGTTACTAACAGAACTGTTTATGGCTACATTTTAAGGAACACACATCATCATCTCCCTGAAGGCTTTGGTGTGCCTGCTGAGGACAGGGAGGTTGGTCAAAGGTCACAGCATGAAAAGATGAAGGAAATCAGAGACAGAGAGATGGAGTTGGGTTGATTCAGCCACATCTGCCCAGTGATTACAGAGGGTTTAGGGAAGGACCTACCTCCAGAGGCAGGGGTGGCGTTAAGGGAAACCACAAGGAAGAGCAGTGCCCCAGGCTCACAGCAGTGGGAGCTGCCACCACCCCCAGGCCCAAGGCAGAGGGACGGGGAGCAGTGACTGGAGCCCTGAGGAGGCTGTGGCTCAGGGAGAGGCTGCCTGAGAGGAGGCCGCTCTGTTAGAGCGTCTCCATCACAGGAAGTGGGGAAGTCGGGGCTGTGCCTCTCTTTCCTTCCCTCCAGTCTTCAGCCAGCACTGCCCTTGGCCAAAGCCAGCAGGTGACCAGAGGCAAGAGAGCCCAGTGATGCTGCCCAAGGAGGACGATTCCTGGGCAAAGAGGGAGGGGCAGGTGGGGAGTGAGGATCACATAGAGCCCAGCATGGCCCAGCACAGCAGAGACCTGGTCCCTGTGACCATACCAGGTGCTTCCTCCATGCCTGGCCTTGGGCTAAATATAGTTCACTTTCTGTTTTATTCTACCCTGGAGATGAGTATTTTTATTCCCATGTTACAGATATCATATTCAAACTTGCGACATTGCAGTGTGTGTGTGTGTGTGTGTGTGTGTGTGTGTGTGTGTGTAAAGAGACCGTGCAGAAAAGGAAGTCGTCCAGCTCAGGAAGGTAGAGCAAGGACTGGGGCCCTTGGAATCCATGTGACTATGCAGCACAGGTGGGCATAGTCCTTCTGGGGAGGAAACAGGAGAAAGATAGAAGGAAGGTGGCCACTTGAGATCGGGTTAGTCTGAACCCAGTTTCCTCACCCTCCGTTCCTCACTGACCACCAGGCCCTGTGGTGTCTCTTGGCTTTGCTGAGGGTCACACTCAGGGCAGCTGGGACCCCAGGCTCTGGGCTCAGGTCTCACCAGCCAGACCCAAGCCTTGGAGCCTGAGGCTCTCAGATCTGGAAACCATGGCTGACCCCACACCATTGGAACTCTCTGCAGCGGACGTGATTCTGGATCCGGACACCACGCACCCCAACCTGTTTATTTCTGAGGACCAGAGGAGCCTGAACTGTACACTAGAAAGGCAGCGCCTGCCAGACAACCCCAAGAGATTTCAAGATCGTTACTGTGTGCTGGGCTGTGAGAGCTTCACATCAGGCAGACACTTCTGGGAGGTGGAGGTGGGGGACAGGAAAGAGTGGCATTTAGGGGTGTGTAGGGAGATCGTGGAGAGAAAATATTATGCTACAATAACACCGGAGAATGGATTCTGGACAATAGTACTGTTGGGTGGGCATGAATTCCAGGCTCGAACGGATCCCCGGAGCAAACTCACAGTTGTCAACCGTCTTAAAAGAGTGGGAGTTTTCCTGGACTATGAGAGAGGAGAGGTCTCGTTCTATGATGCCATCAATGGATCACACATCTTCACCTTCCCACAAGCTTCGTTCTCTGGGCCTCTGCGGCCTTTTTTCAGGATTTGGTCACATGAGCCCACTGCCTTGACCATTTGCCCAGCACTAAGAGGAGTGGGGAGTTCCCTTCTGCCTGACCCACTGCCTGACCCTTCCCTGGAAACCCCAGTGGCCTCAGGCTCAGCTGATGGAAATGCGGACTCTCAGGAGGAAGTAATGTCTTTGCTTCTCTCTGCCCAGCCCTGAGCTGAGGGCCTGCTTAACAGCAAAACCTCGCATCAGGAACATACTTACTAAAAACTCACGGAGTAAAGCACTTTACTAGTTATCTTTCAACTTTTCCACATGACAGATGAGGAGACCAGGGTGTAGGAAGTTAATTAACTTTCCAAAGCTCCCTTTCTGCAGCCATACATATCTCACATTCACTGGTAACTTAGAATGTGGTAGGTGCTGGGCTAAATGCTTCAGGGGACTTTCACTCACTAATCCTCACAACACCCCTGTGAGTTGCCCTCATTGAAAGTGTGGAAAGGGAGGCAGGGCCCAGGGAAGTGACATATAATTCATGCAGAAACTAGTGCTGCTGGGAGGTGTTTGACCTCTGACCCTACCTCCACCTCCAGTCTGTTCCTTTGCAGCCAGTTGTTCCTGTTGGGCAGGGTCATGGGCAGCCTGAGGTTCCCTTCCCAGGGCCCCAGGGAGAAGGTCACTGTAGGTGACTATGAAGACCACACCCCACCTGGTTCCTTCAAGGGGGACTGTCAGCCATGGTCCACTGCTCCATTGGCTGGCTGTCCATGATGACGTCATCCACAGAATGAACTCACAGTGACCACATCACAGGGGGCTGAGAAGGGACTAGAGGCTGAAGTCATAACCAGCTTGAGTCCTGTGATCATGAAGCCCAACCAGCCCTCCAGCTTCATCCCTAAAGCTCATGTGTGAGGCATCAACTTAGGGGCAAGGGGGCCAGGTGAACTGCAGTGGAAGTTTTATCACACTGTAGCCCCATCTCCAGGAAAGGGACACTCCAGGCTGAGCATGTGCTGATGTTCCCGGAGGTTCCTGTAACTGCTGGGTCCTGGGGAATAGCCACTCCATCACCATCACTGTGATTGGTCACCACTGTGTCCCCTCCACCGGATAGGTGGTGGTCAGGTTACATTTGTTAAATAAATTGGTTAATGGTCTTCACTCTGCATCTGAGCTTCTTCTAGATTTCCACCCCCACAGTTTACTCACCACATTTTCACAAAATCCTTATTGTATTAGCTTTGTAAGCTGCTGTAATAAAAACCACAAATTTCATGACCTGATGCAACACAAATTCCTTACTGCACATGTCTATAGGTGAGAAGCCCAGCGTGGCTCTGGCGGGACTGACATCCAGGTGTCTGCAGGCTGGGCTCCTTTCTGGAGGGTCCAGGGAACAGTCTGTTTCTTGCTAATTCTGGTTGTTGTTAGAATTGAGTTTCCTGCAGTGGTGGGCTGATGTTGTCCTTCCAGCCTGAATGCTGTAGGCTGGGAATATCTGGACTCCTTCTGCCAGCTGGCAGATGTGAGGGAACAATTTAGGTTAAAGGAATGGAATGAGGAACAGAGTCCAAAAATAAGAGCTAGTGGGGTCATTGCTAGGGTGCTAATTTCAGTGTCAAATTGAGTCAGAAGGGAATTAGAGGCCTCCAGAGAAAGCATTTAGGAATGGGTGGGACATGTTAAGAAATGTGCCTTGGGCCCAGCTGGTGTGGCTTTTTGGTTGAGCGTCTGTCTACCTATGAACCAGAAGTTCCATTCCCCAATCCCAGTCAGGGCACATGCTCCATGAGGGCTCCATCTTCAGTGGGGGCTGTGCAGGAGATGGCTGGATATGAAACATGCCTGGCTCCCTCCTCCAACCAACCCCTGATTCTCTCTACCTCCAAATTGCTTGTATTTGCACTTCTTCTAATTCTATTTCATTTTTTATATAGGTTTCTGCATATATATAAAAAAGAGATGGGGGACTTTTATTGTTTTTGTTGGTCACCGCAGTGTAGAGTGGGGAGGTAAGGGATCTGGGTGAGGGTCGTGTTGGGCTTTCAGAAAATAAACGACCTGGGGAGGACTGAGTCTGCAGGTCTGGTGTTGCCAAAGAATCCAGAATCACCAGCTGCTGCCTGAAACCTGAAACGTGCACTTTCCTCACCTGCCCCACAGGCTCGCTGTGAATTTACATATGCAATGTGCTCAGAAGAATGCCTACCGCACATGGTGAGCTCTCAATAAATGCTGGTGCAATTACTGTCAGTGCAAAGGTTGCTGAAATTCTTACATGCATTTGCTCACATCGCCAGAGATTGTGGGTAAAAGTTACATTTGTCAATAGTTCATTTCTTCCATAGATTTAGAGTTTGATGTTATAAAACAATTAAATTGGCCATAACCGGTTTGGCTCAGTGGATAGAGTGTCGACCTGCAGACTGAAAGGTCCCAGGTTCGATTCCGGTCAAGGGCATGTACCTTGGTTGCGGGCACATCCCCAATAGGGGGTGTGCAGGAGGCAGCTGATCGATGTTTCTAACTCTCCCTCTCCCTTCCTCTCTGTAACAAAAAAATAAAAATAAAAATAAACAATTAAATTGGCTTAATTCGATGTTAGAATTGTTTTTTTATTTTTTTTTATTTATTTTTTTTAATATATATTTTATTGATTTTTTACAGAGAGGAAGGGAGAGAGATAGAGAG